ATTCTAGAATATCTGTTTTCGGTAGTAAAATACATTACCTTGGCGATTGGCTAAAATGTTATCCCCCCTCCCGTAAATCTATACTGGATCCACGTCTGGTCTAAAATAAATTATAAAAACACACATCATTGTAAAATCAATTCATTTATAACTCCCCTCTGAATCTAAAAAAAATGGCTGCACATTTAATCTTCAGATTTTTCGCTTAATGCCAACGAACGCGCAATTCTACAACACTAAATAGTGTAAAATAACAATGTTGAAATGTTTCTTTCTTTATGTGTGTATCATTGGTATCAACCATTCTTTTACTGTTAGACTCAAAATTATATTTGCGCAGTGCTATACAAAAGCTTAACAGGCCACTACGTAACATATTTCAATTGAGATATATTAAATTTAAAAGCAATAAATCATCGCATTTGAAAGAATATTCTGAACAAGAGTTTTTTAAACTGCACTTGTTTACATTTCCACATTTTAATCCTTAAACATTCAAACATTCTTTAAAAAAAATTTGTGCTTAAGGAAATCACCGAGAAAAACGAACGTACGAACGTATAATTTTACTTTAATTGATATACATTTTTCTTGTTTTTAATTCATTCAAAATAAGTATTGGTTTAACGAAACGTATTTTAAAAGAAAATTCTTAAAAATATACTATTGAATAGCGAAGTCTTGACTCAAAATCAATTATCTTAGCAATGAAAACTAATAGAATTATTTATTTTTGTATAACACTTTATAACACAACGAGTACATTGCACGAGTACATTCGATTGAGAGGCAAGACATTTCTTATAGCACATCGGTATTAGGTTTTATTTTTCTGAAAGTTAAAAAAAAAATCAGATAACTCATTTTAAAGCATTTATTGTGTATAAATGAAAACCAAAAATAAATATTTTACTCTCGGAAATCAGAATCTATTGCTAAAAACTGAAAATTGCGTTGCAATCAGATGGCATTAAGACCCCAAAAATACATACGCAGAACACCATATCACCAGTCTATATTTCCCAAGTAATTCGTGATTTTAAATTGTGAATACTGTATTGAATACAATATTTCAAACTCAAATGTGAAATTATTACTAATAATAGTATAGCCACAACACAGTGCGGTCCTTATTTTACGATTAGTAATATTGAATWATTGTAAAAAATTGTTAAATGCCCACAGGTAATACACTTCATATTATTAACAGTACAATATGTTTTGTGAACACATAAATTTAGTTTTCACTGTTTTTATTTTCAGTATTATTTTACCAGAACWAGAGATAAATTAAATAAAAACCAAAAAGTTTTTTAAAACTAATTATATGTTACAACTTATAAGAACCGTTGATCCTCGATGTGTCATTATCGAATATAGAAAAAACTACAAACACATGAATACATATTACATAGTACATACACACATACCTACATTGCATGATACATATAAACATACATACACGAACTGTAGTGATTTAAAGTCACGGAAACAAGAAAAACAACTTTTCTTCCTGTGCTTTTATCTTTCTTTKTGTCTATTTTATAGTCTGTGTACTATATATATTAATATCCTGTTACCGCCAAACTATTTTAGTGTCGYCTGCCAAATTGTATAACTTGGGTAGGTAGGAATATAACGATAAATTATAATATTACTTATTACTTATTATCATACCTACAGAGCCCACTTTTATCCAAACAACKAAACCCATTTCAACAAAAAATACAACCGAATGCAATCCAGTAAGTAAAATTAGTAACTCATTTCATTATTCCACTTACCTATACCTATATATTATATAAATACCGGGTTCCAATTTGACAATTTATTTCAGGCAGATCTCAAGATTTAAATAAACAGAATTTGTGTACCGACCAACTACTACCTACTCGCTGTGTTATAATACTTGTTTATATAATACTTGTGGTTCTTAAGTGTTCCTCGGCTATATATAATTATAGTACCGCCAATCAGTGGCGGCGCGAATAGCTATTTTATGAGGCGGCCGCCTCATACAAAAGTGAGGGTGGGTATCCCAATGACTCCAAGACCTATAGGGCTAGTTTATAATTTACACTCACATAGTCACATAATCACATACCACAAACATACTAGGGTAAATATTAGGTAATCTTCGTTACATTATCGAGATATGGATTTATTAGGTACTTTTGCCTCATGAAATAAAATAAATGCCAATGTAAATTGTAAAATTACGCCTACCCCTACCATGATCTCCACATATACTTCTAAAATAGATACCTAACAATATTCGTCGCTTGGTCGCTTTATCTAACCATGTGTCATTTCAGTGATCAGGAAACCGTTCAGAAAGACTTCGCTGTTCAAGTTCATGACCGTACTAAAACCCGAAGTTTGGCTTAGTATCGTAGCTGCTCTGGCCATGACTGCGGTCATGATCTGGATACTAGACAAATACTCGCCTTACAGTGCACAGAACAACAAAGCCAAATACGAACAATTCAGGTATATTTACCTACCATTTACGATAAGTATAAATGGGGAATTATTGATTCCGCCGAAACTACCTGTTTAGAAAAAAGGTTTGTATCGATTCCGCCGGCTACTGTATAAAATATCTACATATCGATTCCGCCGGCTACTGTTAATATTATTTACATATTGATTCCGCCGGACACTGTTTATCCCCCCCTTGTATATGTATTTTATATAGTACATAATACAAATAAAAAAATAATAATTGTATAATTCAAAAATAAAATGTATATTCAAATTAATTCGTGTATGTGAATATATTATAAAATATTAAAATGTATATAGGTAATATGTACTATAGTCTGAATTGTATAGTCTTGTATATTATGTAGGACTGTAATTTTAAAAATACATTTACAAATTACAAGGGTGGGATAAACAGTAGCCGGCGGAGTCAATAGCCGGCGGAATCGATATAAAATCGGCGGAATCGATATACGCCC